CTGTAGCATTGTAGCAACTACCCAGAAACAGGTGACGTATAAATACATGTACTGTGTTTCTCTGATTACAATTGTAAAAAAGTCACAGTACAAATATGGCTTTTAATTTTAAAATGAAGGTTCATATGTATGAAAAAATGTGTGGTATAATCTTGTAATACAGGCACAAGAAAGGCTGGTACAGTGTTAATATGGGATAAAGTTATGAAGTATTTGTTTCAACAGTTAATTTTCCTTTTTACAAATTCTTCCCATCTCTGCATCCATTTAGAAGTTTTTCTTATTTTGATTATGTAGTTAGTTACATCCCCCGCTGATATTTTGTGTGTACTTAAAATTGTACTTTTTAGATTGCTTTCATTTACTGCTTTTAAAATGGTGTGAATGCTTATCAGCTCTGTAGCTTGTAATAGGTCTGCAGCTGTGTGTAGCTGGGAGACTGTCAGCGAGTGTAGTGTGGAGTGGGTTGTGCAGTGCAGTGTGTGGGAGAGTGCCATGAACTGTGTGTATGGGGAGTATACAGTAAACAGGCAGGTGTGTAGTATCTTTATACAGATGCTGCCACTGTGTTACCTTGTTGGATTTTATCCAGGTGTGCTATTCCTGAGGAGCACAGCTTATCTCAATACAGCTAAGCCAGTGCTATGTAAAGGGACAGTATGTAATACTGGTAGGCTCTTGTAGTGCTAAAACCAGTATTTGAAGATCCAGGAGGGAGGATCGCAGTTGGTTATGCAATTGTTAGTGAAACAGATAAGTTAAGTCAGGCTAAAGGGACCTGACACATTCTTGGGATGAATAAAATGGGAAAGAACTGAACTTTAGTTTTTCAGAATCAATAGTGAAACATTAACAAAAAGACTGAAGTGGAAACTATGGGGAAATGTATTTAAAACTATGTTCAGGAGGCACTTCTTTACTCCAAGGGTTGTAGGTGTATGGAACAAGCTGCACAGTCATGTTGTTAAAGACATCCTGACTGCTTTCAAGAAATAGAACACACCACACCGAAATGGACTGATTGGCCTTCTGTCAGTTGTGAGTTTTCTTATGTTTTTGTGTATAACTAGTAGCAGTGAGCTGGGTGAACCTCCTCTAGTTTGCTTGTCTGTCTTATGCTACCTGGTGTTCCTTAATCCACTGACAGAGTGCTGGGGTTTAGTAATGGAGGTGAAGTTAATTCAACATATTAGAAAACCTGGCTGAAAAACAACTGTTCTGGTGTCACAGGAAGGCAGTATGTCTTAATGCACAATGTAGTCTTCTTTTTCTATTTGTTTTTCCTTAAAATCTCTTCAAATAGGACTTGATGCATGGAACTCACATTTTTTACAAAGCATGTACTGTAGCTGTTTAAGTGCAAGAGTTCCGGTTAAACGAAAAATATATACTGCATGACATATTCATATCTCATTCTCTGCTAAATTAAATAAACTTCTGTTAAGGAAAAGCTAGGGGAAATTTGAGGCAGTCACATGGGTATTTTTGTCTTCATCCCGACAACGTGAGATGTGGGTTAAGAATCTTCTATATCCTACGGTTAAAATAGTTTAAATGAATTAGGAAGACCCCATTTAAGGTAAGGCACAAATGTTGTCACTACTCTTCAAAACAGCCTCTCTGGAAACAGTAGAACAAAGAGCCACCGTAGCCAGTCCTGTCCTTAAAGGTATACAAACATAGATGAAGAGAATTTATTTTTTGTAGTCTTGAACGGAGTAAATTATAAGGGCATCAGATTCAATAATTCAAACCCCCGAAAGCTCAGTCAATTGGGCTAATTGAAAGTCGATGAAAAAGGGAGCTGAAAACACAATAGAAAATAATGAGCAGCTTTATCTGGGTTTCCAGATTGGACGCACATCTTTAAGCGGAGCTGTAAGAGTCTTGAATGAACTGCCTGGTCGTTGTTGAAGTTTCATCGATGATAACTCTCAAGAAAGGGCTGGATGATATTTTCAGATCAATAAACTACTAACAACCAATGTCACCCTGTCATTTTCACGAGTCTAATGAGACATGGGTGACACCACTTCCGCTTGGAACTCATTGAGTGTCACTGAAGGCCACGCTCCTTCGCCTCGCGTTTCTCTGACCGCGCGAATTGCATTCCAAATTACGAACTATCGACTACAGCTGAGATGGAGAGAGTAGAGATCACTTTGTATCGTCGATTCACTTGAAATGGATAGAAAAAAAGCATTCCAATTATATTATTCGTGAGTAACTTCAGCCAGTTAGTAATTAATTCGGGATAGTGCGAGATACTGAGTATTATGTTTTATTAGTGTAATGTTTCGTTACTGAATACAGTGTGGAGTGGGGTTACCATGTGATTTAAGTATTAATATTTTGCTTGTAGTAATTGCAGCAAAGCTGGCAATGTCCCGTCGATTAAGTTACACAAAATCTAAATTAAATGAGGAGTGCGGTGAGGCTTGTAATTATTAATGAAGCGATAACTGTTACCAAGGAGTTTTTTTCAAACTATGTCTGTCGATACTGTTTTTAGTCAGTGAACATACATTTTTCTTTATAACCAATTTATATTCTCACATGTTCGGAAAAGTCCTACTTTTATTTATATAAGTTACACATCTTGTTGCTCATCTTCGGTGTCATCACATCAGTTACTTCGCTTTGCTAATCAACTCTTAACACAGAAGATAAGACATTTCAGCTTCTTCAAATTTAATAACATTTCAAGTTTTCATTTCTAATTTAACAGAAAGTGGACTCCGATTTATACCGTACTGTGTATATCGAGTTTTGTTTGATAGATTAAAAGGTAGTTAGCATGTTTTCATTCTCTAAGAAGCAGCACATCGTTCAATTAAACAGATTAAGGTTTTCACGTTTTGTTCCATAGTTTAAGAGTTTTAAAATATATTGCAGGTCTTCATACCCAGTGGAGAAAGTGGAGTTTTGCAAGTATTTGTTGAATGTGTTCCCAACTGTAAAAAACCTAGATTAAGGACACCCTTGCATAGCTCCAGCGCATTAATCAGAGGCAAGAAATAAATTATTCGCGGCTTCAATAGTAGTCCAGAGATTCAGTTCGTGTATTTGTTATGGTAACTCATTTTTTTACCCGTGGATCACATTGTTCTGTACATCAGCCTCACTCATAATAATGTGAGACATATTTGGGTTAACGTGTTCAGTGTTTTGTGTTTGGTGCGAGTGAAGTTTTATTTCATCTCTGACACAAATGTGTCCGTTATTCTTTTTTCGTCTTCTTCTCCATGTTTGGTCTGCTAGTTTTTTTTTAATCAATAAAGTTTGATAATCGGCCAGTGAAAGCTCTGTTTTCCTTCACATGAATGTCTAAAACCCTGAAACGAACCCAGGATTGTACCTACAATAATAGCATTAATCTGTACGAACCCTTTGTTTACTCGGTGTCAGAGAGTGACAGCGGGCCCTCCTCCAATCACAGCGCGGTATTAACCTTTGCCAGATGTGCCCGTCTCTCTCAGGCGGAAGAGCCACCTGCGTAAACCTCAAGGAAACCGAATTTCTTTCTTATTTGTTTGAACAACGCGCGTATTTAATTTATTTGATTCTCCCCCCGACACTGCCGATGCAGATAAATGTCTTTAACCCCCTTTCAGTTCCGGTTTCAAAGAGGCGAGGCGTGGAAATAATCAAGTAATTATTAATTAAGGTCTTTTGAAACGGTTTCGCGGTTTGGGCCGTGAGGCAACGTTTTAAATTAGTTTATTCAGCGTGGAAATTACGATAAAGATAAAATTGTAAGTACTTGTAGCAAAAGCCTTCCCAGGAAATCTTGAAGATATATTCCCTTGAGGGATAGAATAATAATAATAATAATAATAATAATAATAATAATAATGGAAAACGAACATTTAGATACATAGTAATTTAGAACGCTAACCATATAACTACCCCGTGTTGTGACCCGTGATAATGTCTTTTTTCTTTAAAAAAAACAGTGCCACATCAAAACCTTTGTATCAACTTTGCTTAAATGAATTAAGCTGTCCTCGAACATATTAACAAATCTTTGTAATTTCGCCTTCTCAGATTCGTCCTTCCCTCCGCTCCAGACACAACAGCCCGTTCTGTGCTTGTGTGTGGTCTCGGGGCTACATCTTGCGCGGAGTGTTGTCAGGGAGAAGTTGATTTTTGGCTACCTTTGGTGATGCTGTAATTGTGGACCTGCTCAGTTAGATGTTTGGACCCGGGACCCCACACGTCTGCGCTGAATCTGTCTTTATTATCCAGCGGACTGAGAGCTCCTCGCCTCCCTGGAAACTTTAACACTGCCAGTGATAACCGAGACTCCAAATAGCGAGGAAACCAGGGAAAAACAGGGATGAAAACCAGTCCAGAAGAACGCATCCTAAGCAGAACATATGCTTTGTGGTAAATGAGTAACATGGATTTAATTGATCACATGGAAGCTATAGAAAGACATGTGGTTTAATTTTGGTTCCTACACAACGTACGTTTGCTTTGAGGGGATGAGAATCCGTTCCCGTTTTTAGCCCATGATGTCATGTAATGAAATCATTAGAAAGATTACATTTCATTATGAGGACAGAAAGAAAGAGGGACTACTACATTCGGCGTTTCCCGCCCATTCGAGAAAATCCGACATCTGATCATGTGAGAGTTTTGTTACCCAAATAATTAAGAGTTAATAAAAATAACAGCTTGTGTCAACAGTACAGCCTTGGAGAGCTGTGTAAATGGATTACTTGGATTAAATTTTGGCAAGATGATCAAGGCTGCATGTAATCTAATATCCGCAATTAATTTCATAGAGCTCCGTTCATTGCAGCATGTTATAACAACCTCCAAAGGCGTTTTTTAGCCAAGTGCCCGCTAATTAGTTATAGGCATTAAAAACGACCGCACTAATTACTTAATGTTCATTTTTACACAAGCTTATTCCGGGCGGCACTTTGTGCATACAAAAAAAAAAACTAAACACTTTTAATTCTTGCATTCCTATACAGGCATAGACCAGGAGGGACGTTTTAATGTTTTATTTATGAGTGGTGGGAAAGTCTGGGTTTTAATCTCTGCTTTCCACTTCCTCTCCATCTGAAAATCATTTTCCTTCCTTGTTAAACATTCTGTCCAAATGGTTTTCACTTCTCCATCTGCGGCTTGTTTGGACAAATGTTCTTGCGTCTTTAGAAATCGTCTTCAGAGGATCCGAGCCCATATTGTCTCCTCACGTTCGTTAAGATTCTTTTTGCCACTTGTGGCCCCGAACAGACCTTCTTGAAGGAGTCTTCCCGCGGGCTGTGAAAGCGTGCGTGCGGGGGACGCCGGGGTGGCGTGCTGGGGGGAAGCGGGGTCACTCCACCGGGGTAACCCCTTTCTCTCCTCCATTCAGGCCTCTCCACGTTGGGCAAACTGAAAAGAAAAACAATAATTAGAGACAATTGCCTGTGTCCAAACACAGGCATCAAAGCCTTCGCGGGGCTTGATTGTGACGAGTGGCGCTCTACGGTCGCTCGGGGGTAACCTCTTGTTTAAGCCTCGGAGAAGGGGCACACAAAAGCCGACTGATGTGGGGGGGAACCTCTGCCCCCCATCTCTCCCTCACAGTCTGTATAAAAGAGATTTCAAAATAGGTTGTGTAGTTGCTCGGGGTGTCTCTCTATGGGTGAAACAACAAGCCCGCATAAGAATATATGGCGACTGACGGAGTTCCTGCTTTAGGCCAAGGGCTGGAAAGCATCCATCACTGCGCCCAGCTGACTGATGACGTTAATTAATGCGGCCAGTTGTATCGGGCAAGTGCAGGGCTCTAGCTCGGTGGTCGCGGGTGACAAATGACAACTAACCTGTGTTTTTTTTTCCAGGGTTGCCTTTAAAGCAGTCATAATTACGCGTCTTAGAACCTTTCCTTCCCGTCGCTTGTAAACAACAAACAGCAAACACTGTGGTTTCCTTGTGTAGAACCAGCCGATGTTTGTTTACAGCAAACAATAACACGAAAACAAGCGCATTTCAACAAAATGAGTAAACGAGTGAACGAATTCCCGAATGGCATCGCCCTGCCCTGCTAAGCAATTTGAAAGGTAAAATCTATATAATGTGAAACCTGCGGTTTATTATATATTGCATCCTTTTGTAACTAAAAACACTTTCATTCCTGGTTATGTCTCGCAACATTTTTCTCCTTCCCATCCTATATTATTCCGTACATTATGCAGAGGCGGGAAACCGCTGGAGCTCTTTGTGGGCATGTAGTTTAGGAGTATGAAGACTACCTTGCTGCTTAGCGATTGCCTGAAGTTAATGAAAATAATCACGCTCTGTAGAATTACACCAATGCCGCAGTGCAAATCAAAACATTTAATCTGCTTAATTAATTACAGGAACGGAGTTACAGATATTTGCAACCACACTGACTGTCCTGCTGCTTACTGTGTCCTCTGCTGTGGTAACGCTAGTGTGTTGTTCGTCAGGTCGCCGGGTTTCAGTGATTTTCTGCACCTGCCATTTGTGTGCGTATGGCTCGCGATTACCAAGAACAGCGCTGCGGTGGGCTCTGGGATTTGGGGATAAGAACCAGCGAGTTCGCGGAAAACAGCACGGATACCTCTTCTCTTAGTAATTTGAGCGACCTAATCCGAAATTAGGTGCATATTTATCATATGGAACTCGCCAAACCGTGACACGCTCCGATTATTGCATGTTACTTTTTTCCAAGTAGTTCCGAGACTGTTTGTTAATGATATCTTATCTTTTACTCAAAAGATTGAAACGGAACAAAATCCCCGAAGAATCCTTATTATTTCGAATTGCTCAATTTAAAATGCATAGCATTAAAATAGTTTGTGTATTTTTCGCATCCGGCTTTTATATTTAATTACCCCCCCACAGACGGGCGCTGAAACTGTTACACGAACTTTCGACGTACCAGACTTTGAGTAGCAGGTTTTTCAGTTTTTAATCTCAACTATTTTCCACAATTTGTAAAAGCAGACACACTTGCCAGCGATGCCAGCACACATTTCCCACACATCGAAGAAAAGGCTCTCGTTTCCAAGAGACCCAGCGTGTTTAGTCGAATTGACTGGAAGACGGAACCAGAAAGAATGAGGCAAATCGTTTTAATTTCGGTTCGTCCAAGACATAAAGCAAACAAAAACGGGGGTTAAAAAACTGCCCGTAGTTCCGTACGGTTTTGGTGGTTCGCAGTTAGCGGGATACTTTTTCAGTACAGTTATGCATTTTTAGCCCCTTGCGTTAATAACTCTCTAACCCTCAGTCCCTTGGAAGAGACCTCTCCCTCACCTCTCGCCTGGGTTTTTTTTTAACTCTTCAGCCTCGTCTTACTTTAAAGCCATGTAATCTCTCGCCGTGTTTGCTTTTCATGTCTCTCCCCCCCCCAGTGCTAACGCCTTGGTAGGTTTCATTGTGCGGCGCGGAACTCGTGAAAGGGGAAAGCTGACGACGCCGCCCGCTTTTTCTCCGCGCCGCTCGGGAGTGCGCACGCCCGGCGGACAGGGAACCCGCCGCGCTCGGACGATGGGAATGGACGCGGGACGGGGCGGCGGGAAGGCCGGACGTGCCACCCACCCTGCCACACACAGGGGATAGTTAGTTTGAAGAAGTGAATTAGCCATGAATAGACACGGTGGGGACAATGGCGAGGACACCGGGGTTTCTTGCTCAGTATTTAGGAGGCAGTGGTTCGTGTGATAAGATGAAGCGGAGTTTTAAGGGGGACCTCGGTCTATTACACGGTAATGGCTTTGGAAAGACCTAAACGATTTGTTGACTAGGACAATAAATCTGTTGTCTATTCTTGGCGTGATGGAGGAGGGATTACACGTTCTTTGCACAAAGGAATGTAAATTGCTAGCCAAACTAACAGAGGGGTTTTAGAAGAAGAGTTTTTCCCTGGTCATTCGGAGACCGTTTTTTTTTATTAGTCATAATAACCAAGGAAGGTCTGAAAGTAGCCACAGTATTCATCCCAGATCAATGGATTAGCTACACCCACCCCAGCGGAATGATTTACATGTGATTTAAAATCATGGCTAAAAATGGTGACCCTCGCAAAAACTAACCGTTCTCGCGTTCGGCCTTGTTCAAGCGTAAAAATCAAATTAAAATGGTCTTAAAACCGCTTTGAGGCCGCGGGCTTTAAATCCGAGACTCTAGTACGTCGTAAAATCTGGGATAAAACAGAAAATAATCTACAATAGATTTGTGCAAATTAAACGTTCACCTCACAGTTATCACCATCGCCGACAATAATAAAAGTAAAATCTTATTTATTATTGTCGGCGACAATAGTAGTTACTCACGACCTAAAACGCTTAGTCCCATGGACAGGCCCATAGTTTCTCTTCCACGGATGGGATACAACTGCATTTAAGGGCTGTGGACCATGAATGTTTAAGCAAAAAAACGATAGGAGCGGATGGTTTAAATCGCCTTTTCTTAGCTGTCTTTGTAACTAACGTTAGTATTAAACAGCTTTATATAAAACCGTTCTGTTTGTAATGTTTCCAGTAATTATGATAATAATGTAATTCTTTATAACGTTTTTTTGCATTTTTTAATTTACTTTTATTTTTTAAAACACTTAAAGTTTACTTAACGTTACTTCCATATACTACAATCACGTTTTCATTAGTACTGTTTTGAAACCAGTGGTATAAATGACTACTGATTTAGGTGTAGGCCAAAACGATGGGTGTTCATCCTGTTATCTACAGTAGCACTTTTGGGGCATGGAGCCGTGTTTAAGATAAGACAGGAGAACACCTGCTTGGTAGCTCAGTCCAGTCACGGGAGCTCCGCTTTGTCGTTAATGTCGGACAATTCAAGGTTCACAACGACGCGTTTATTCTCTTCTCCACCTACAATTAGATGTTTCAAAATAGCGAGTTCACAGCCATTTTTACATCGAGAGAAATAGTACGCCTATTTTATGTAGTAGATGCCTTCGTGAAATTATCAGTATTGAGCCGGTGATGTAGAAGTTTTAAAACGTGGCTTCTAACGTGTTAAAGGCCTTTGCAACATTAATCCAGTACGTCGAGAAATCCGACAGAATGTGTACTAGCGTAACAGTACCCCCTAGCGATGAAATGGCACATTACAGGTGGTAGCAGAAATAGCTAAAACACTAACCTACTATACTAAACCATACACCACGAAAAACAAAGTGCAACTTCATATATTTTTACAAAATGTCATCCAATGACTTATTAAAACACGCGTTTTTGTGCTGGTTTTATCAGTGACTTGTGCTGCCCCCATTTAAAAATCGATATGTGTTCTATTAGTTCTGAGTCAAGAGTTAAACTGGAGTTGTCATTCGTTATAAGACAACATAAAAAATACCGACTCATTAACAGCTCGCCTGTAATCCAGTGTTTAAAATGTTTGTTATTCAAATGCTCTGCCAAGTTTATTTCAGGAATATAAATGCATGCAAATGTGCGAGGAAACCACACAGCACAGCACAGCATAGCACGCAGATCCATTAAAATTTAACATCACATAATATATTCTATGCGCATTCTCCAGCAGCATCTCTTTCCCATATATGGATTTAAACTAAAGTGTTAAGACAATGTCCATTGTGTATGCTTAAATATAATGACCTATCTTACATCGAACCACGAAACTTGGTATTCAGAGTATAACCAGAGTTGCTTGTTCTGAGTTATTCTTTTAAGATTACAAAAGAGAATTCAATTTATTAAAGCCCTTATCTTAATATTGTGGCTACTTGGTAGCATTGATTTCCGGAAGTACGGATGAGCACGGCAATCGTGAAAACAAATACCCAACACATAAAACGACTAACTACTGTGTTCTTTTCACCTCGACTCGTAGCAATCAGAAAAGCAATTGCGTTTGGTAAAGCAGTGACCAGTCGATCAAATAAGCAAAACGAAATCTCGGATTCTTTCCGTAGCTCAGCAGAAATGAACAGAGAGCAAAAGAATATGTAGAAGAGTTCAGAACAAGTTAAAAAAAATGAATAGACCGCTTCAACGCCTACAAACTGGGCGTCAGAGACATCATTTGGACCCAAAACGAACAAATTATCTGTTTTCATTTACTCAAAGACGTGCTGAAATAACCCTCTACAGTAGTGCTAATTCAATTCGATTTCCAAAAGGGGCAAAATAAGATCTGGACCGTAAAATGATTTTGTCCCATCCTGATGTATGTAACCGATTGTGTTTAACGCACACGTAGCTCAATTCGCCCACAGTGACACGGCTTCTATAAATAACCTGGGGGAAAAAAGCCATTATTGACTCAAACAGCTTTCAGGGAAACGGCTTTTAAACCTGGCTCACAGTTATGCCTGTTTTGAAAACGGCGCTGTGTGTATTTCACGGGAAAACATTTATCTGTTTATTCCTTCCAAATGACTGTAAAGCCTGCCAGTACAAGTAGGCGTATTTTATTTTTCATAACTATAAACATTGTAATCTAAAACATGTGATAGCTCATGTTTTAGAAGAATTTTAGTGTAGGATCCAGCGCTGTGGGCTGGAATGATAAGGTCGGTGGGCTAGTTTGCTTCGCAAATCCTTTAACCATTCTTGAAATCTGCGATTTGAGGGGGGTCAAAACTCCACTTATTAATACGAGTGCGTATTTCACTTTGAGAAGAAGTGTTCGAGATAGAAAACAACCTCTTCATCTGTCGTCTATAATCCGGTCATTTAACGGGTGTGGGGTTACAGCGGGGTGTGTAAATCCCCTCATTTATCATTCCACGTCTCGGTGCAGAGCAGTGCACATCGGGCTGTTTAACCTTTCATACACCACACACAAGCAACTTACTGGGAGTACAGGAGAGAAACACGTCGCTGTAATGTACATGATCACAATTAACCGGATAATATCACGACATCTGTCGTTAAATCAGAACCGTCTGTGTTCGGAGTAGCAGCCAACAGAAAAAGGACATTTTGAGAGGCCTGACACACGAAAGACTGTGAATAGGAGCCGCTTTGTTTATCCACTACAAGACCGGGTTTTCAAAAAGATGGATGCACAGTTATTGCATTAAGGCAAACAGTATGCTTTACAAATACGCTGGCCTCAACTGTAGAAACATCCCTACATGGGCTGCGTGGAGAATTCACTACATATCCACTGCTTCTCTGGAGGCTGTAAATGTCATCTTAAGTCCTAAAATTAGCGATGAAAGGCTTGCTCGTTTAAAGCACAAAAAAGGGTGAAATCGTCTGTACTTATAATTATTACTGAATAAAGTTTCAGTTTAGAAACGAACTCATGTGAATACCCTTTGTTTATAATAACCACTTTCTCAACCCTTTCCATAAACCAATGACTTGACCCCGCGTTGCTTTTCTACATTTCTCGCGTCCCTCCCTCATTCCTATCGCTCAGTATTTTGCGGGGACGTTGGGGTTGAGGGTGTATCGCCAAGCGAGGCAGACCTGTCGTACTTGACCGGGGCTGCTCGCTGTAGGACGGCCCTGCCTCCGCCTCAACGACTCACGCAGGTGAAGACCAGTCCCCTCGCCCTGCCTGTCTATAATAATCACGAATTATCTGACAGGTTTAATTAGAGAACAACAACATTATTTTAAAGACAGTTTACTCCCAGCTGTAAAAGGATACTTTGACACTCTTCAATAAACCTGACAACAAGGGGCGGGGTAGCCTATTACCTCCAATCCACGCAATTCATTCCCTGGGCTGTCCTGGATGATTTACTAGCTGGCTGTAAAAGCCCGTCACATGAGGAATTACGATGTTGTTTTACAATACCCTACGCCGAAATGGGAGAGGTTATTGCGACGCAATAACTTTTAACAGGCTCGACTATCGCGCAACACGAAAACCATTATTTCTTTTCTCCCGTGCCTTAAATGGGTATTCAACTCTCTCGCTTCGTTTTATTCAAAAAGGCCCCCGTAAACTGGCACTTAAATACAAGGTCATGGTAACAGGGGAGAGAGATAGTACCGCTGATAACGTTCTGTGTCTTGTAAACATTTGGCAAGGGAAAAATTCAAGCAATAAATATGGGTGCATCGACTGCAAGAGAATGTATAGCACGTCTCCAGGTCTTCACAACGGCAACGTTAACAAAACATCCACTTATTGATACCGACGACTGCTGTAGACGTCCAACATCCCAACGCTGTGATACGCAAAGCGAGTATGAGCCACTCGGCGCTCCCCCAGCCGGTCTCTCGGGGAAGCCTTGGTTCAAAGAGCCGCACAGCGCCACCTCAGACCGCGGTTGGTTCATTTCAGCGGAGAGGCCCGGCCTCAGAACTAGGGAAGACTTCGGTGTCATTCAGTTTTCCTAAAGGATTAGTCACGTTGTAACAGGTTCAGCGAGCCCTCCTCTGGTCTTGACAGGGCAATCTCCATTCCAAAAGTCAGTGAAGCTGTTGAAGTTTATTATTGTTGCTGTTCATAGCGATTGGATGATCTCCTGCGTGATACCCCTGTC